CTGTGTTCTGTTCAGGCCTCCTAAACAGGCCTAAAAATAACCCCTTTGCTGTTTCTTCTGGTCAATCAGAAATCCTGACGTCTCATTGATGCAGGATCAGAGGGTGGGATGTGCAGGTGAGCAGGTACCTGTGTATGTGGCCTCCTTCACTCCATAAGCCAGAGCTCCAGCTCCGATCAGCAGTTTGAGTCCAGTTCCTGCTCCCCGGGGTCCTGAGGACATCCTGCCAGCGATCTGCCTCAGCTGCTGCAGAAAACCCTGCAGAAAGCAAACAGATGATCTCCCAGCATGCAGCAGCTCCTCTCTGATGACATCAGACCTCTCACTCTAATCCACTATTAACCAGGAGGACTTTCTAGATGGTTCACACCACAATAAATCTCTTACAGGTCATTTTTATAAGCCGAATTACAGCAGAGTTTATGTACAGCATAATTAATGCCAATGACGTCACTAAATGTAAAGTAATCTCTGGAAAATTATTAGATTATCTGATTTTATAGGTTTTCTCAAAGCAATTCGGACTCATTGGAAGAACCGAGGAACCGGATAAAAGCTGCAGAACGTTCTAAAAAATATCCAAACATTTCCCGAATGAAGGAGATTATTAATCCCCATAATAATCATTAAACCTCCTGTTAGCTCCTCTGGCTGCTGCTGTCACTTTACATCAGCTGGAAGCACGTGCCACGTTTTGAAACGGCACGAGCCGTGGAGCACAACGCGGGAAACTACAGAGCGGTTCTACCGAACAGAACCGGGTCAGAACAATCCGGTTCTGTTAAAAACACGAATATAAGAGGAAAAGTTCACTCACTGCTGGCTCCTTATTCGCCATGCTGTCCTACTGGAGGAGCAAATGGGAAAAGACGAGAAGGTCAAGCTTGATGACGTATTTCCGTGTCCGCAGGGGCTGATGGGAGATGTAGGCTTTAAAAAAAATCCTGTTCAGGCTGGCCAACTGTCCCTTAAAGTTAGCTTTTCCACATTTAGTAACAAAAATTATGCTTAAAATTTAACTTAAATGTTTACAAAATAATTTCATACCAACAAGAAAAGGTTTTAATAGAAAAAAATAATTTTATGGAATGAAAAACTTTTTTATTTTCAGGGAGTTGAAAGCTCTCGGTTACTTTTAAGTTATTTATGTCACACAGAAATGTAAAATTAATCTTTCAAGCTTTTTTATGGATTCATGATTACACATAACATAAACTACAAGTAAACAAAAGTCCAGGTCTATTAAAAAGCATATAAAGCATGCGAAGGGATTAAAAACATGTCGTATTTTGTGTCTCCAATGTAGGAAATATGAAAATTTAATGACAAATGAATACAGAAACAGAATCTAGATGTTCGCCCTCTAAACTAATTTAACTAATTTAACTGTAGTCCTATAACTGGGCCGTAGTACGCTAAAACTTACCAAAGGGGAAACGTAAACAGAGAATATCTTATTGAGAATCTTTTTTTCAAATTGAACCATGGAGAAGAAACTGTGGGCTTTACAAAGTAAAGTTCTGATTTCACAAAACATTAAATCTTCTAAATTATGACTAAATAACAGAGCTG